TCTCCTCCACCCTCGCCTCTTGGGCCACACTTGTCTCCTCCACCCTCCCCTCTTGGGCCACACTTGTCTCCTCCACCCTCGCCTCCTGAGCTCCACTTGTTCCCTCCTGTCCGTCCTGCTTGTCCCCTCTGCCCTCCTCAGTACCTCTCTAGTTCTGGTCTTCATGAGAACCGTTTTTCCCAGGACAAGCTCTGCTCTGATGTCCATCTTTCCCATAGCTGTAACATTTAAAATCATCGGTCTTTGCAAAAATTACATAATCAAAGTCCTCTACAGTGATTTTAAACACGAGGTTTACCTCCCTGCTCCTGTCGTTAGGGATCATTAGCACGTCTCCTGTGAGACACCACTTGTTTTAACAGCGGAGTTTTAAACCCAGAGGACACTCTCCTAATCGGAGACACTACCTTCCCGTGTTTGGACAGCTCTCTGATTATTGCGTCGTTTCTAATAAGTAACACAGTAACTTTTACTGCCAGTGAGCTGAGAGGGTAAACGGACAGGAAGTGTTCACCCACCTCGATCCCGTTCTCCAACACCACTTCCGCAGCTTCTAAGCTATCTAAAAAGATGACCACAGCGTTGTTCATCCACGCTGCGGACTTCACGCAGCTGTGGCCAACAAGTTCACCTACTGCCAGGCTGATACCTTCCACTGAACACCCAAACAGCGGCGGGATCTTCACCCCGTGCTTCCTGGTCAAATCCGTCAGGCCCATGGTGGCGTTTAGCAGCCGACAGCTCGCGCTGATCAGCTACAAACACTCACAAACAAAGTCCCTAAAACCCACTAACTGTGCACACAAACCCTGTGAACCCTGCACACTACACTACACTATCATACCCAACATTACCCTGTGAAGAAAAATGTCGAAAAATCGCCAATATCGCTCTCAAAACCCCGCTCCTTCAGCTCCGTGCTCCTTCCACAGAGAGAGAGAGACTGTCAGACACCAGCTATGGTGTCAGTCTGCTTACTGATGATAAAAATAAGAACAACAATAATGATAACGTAAGGTAAGTAAAATGTTAATATGTAACACTTTCACAAACCAGAAAATGAAAATCTACAGAATATCATGAGAAAAACATTGTCAGAGAACAAAAATAAAGATTAATCCAAACTTTTTTTTGTTGTTGGTTAGCTTAGTTTAGTCTAATTGAGAAAATGTGGAGATGTTACTGACTCAGCCACGCTTGAATCTGTGTTTCAGAGTTTGTTAACAGGTCTTCTTTATCATCATCCTGAGGACCCCATCATCCTGCAGAGCTGCCTGATCACGACCAGACAGCTGGGGGGGTCCTGAGGCCGTCACCTGGGACACTTTCATCCACCTAGGGAGACAACTGAGCGCCAGGCCACCAAAAACAGCATCTCTACCCCTTATAACAAAGTCTGTTCCACTGAAAACATCTGTTCCTCCTATAACATCCACAATACCCCAAACTACACCATCAATACCCCCCAAAACCACACCCATGCCCTCATTAACATCCACAACACCCCAAACAACACCATCAATAGCCCCCAAAACCACACCCATACCCTCATTAACATCCACAATACCCCAAACTACACCATCAATACCCCCCAAAACCACACCCATACCCTCATTAACATCCACAACACCCCCAACTACACCATCAATACCCCCCAAAACCACACCCATACCCTCATTAACATCCACAATACCCCCAACTACACCATCAATACCCCCCAAAACAACACCCATACCCTCATTAACATCCCCAATACCCCCAACTACACCATCAATATCTCTTATAACACTATCAATACCACTAACACCTCCAATATTTTCTATAAGAACATCAGTAACCCCCAAAACAACATCTACTGTATATTCCCTATAAAACCCTACACAACACCCTCTATGCCCCAAACATCCACCCCACGACCCAAACAACACCCCCAAAACTCAATATATCACCTACTTCACCTCAGATAACATCCCCAACATCCACAGTAACCCTACTAACGCATGGGTCACACTTTCCCTCCATTAAGCCCAAAAATCTGTCTTAGCCCCATCGACACACCAGGTGTTCTCCATCACCAACAGAACACCATCTGGAACCCCGAAACAGGTCCTGAACCCAAACTCCTTTCCCCAGCTTCACCTGCACCTACAGTAACCCCACTTGTACACACTCAGAGGAAGGAAATACGAGACACGAAGACATTCAGCACAGACGGTAAGAAACTGAAAAATGCTAAGGTTTACTGAGTTTGATTATTGGCAAAGAGTTCAGCTACTGTTTGGTTCTCCTGTAGTTCAATTATCCAGGTGTTCAAATCTCCAGTAGTTCAGTTCTTAATAAGGAGTTTGATTTTGCTAAACTTTAAATATTCTGGAGTTCAGTTCTCCTTGAATTCAGTTCTCCTGGAATTCAGTTCTCCTGGAGTTCTCCTGAAGTTCAGTTCTCCAGTTCAGTTCTCCTGGAATTCAGTTCTCCGGGGGTCTTGTTCTCCTGGAGTTCAGTTATCCTGGAGTTCAGTTCTCCGAGAGTACCATTCTCAGGGAGTTCAGTTGGTTCAGGAGTCCAGTCAGTACACCTGTTTAGATAGTTTGCCGTGGCAAAAAAGTGATTCCTGAATCAGAGTGTAAGATTTGATGTGACTCTTCTCATGTTTCTCCTCTCAGCTCCCACTCCTGGTCCTCCTCCTCCGGTACGTTCTCAGCTCTCCATCGACTCGGACTCTGAGATGACGGAAAGCTCTGGACTCCTGCAGGAAGTCAGCATCCTGCCTCCTCAGAGGCCACGCCCCCTAATCATCTTCATCATCGGTACAATTTCTGAACTCAGCTTTTTTAAATCATTAGGGTGATGATAAACAAATGGAGTGACATATAGAAATCCCTGACCAGGGTCAAACTGAGGACCATGAGGTTTATGTTATCTTATTCCCATCAGGTGGTCCAGGAAGTGGGAAGGGAAGTCAGGCAGCGAGGCTAGCTCATTGCTTCAGCTTCAGAGTCATCTCATTGGACGAGCTGCTGAGGAGGCAGCTGCTAAGCCACGCCTCCCCCAGCAGGAAGTGGGAGGTTATTTCACAAATGATGGGTCATGGAGAGCTGGGACCACAGGTCAGTGTCAACCAACCTAAACCCACAAATTTAACAAAGATGCTGAACACTCTGCTGTGATTTAGCATGAACACTGTGAACAAACTGTCTCACTGTGTTTGTAGGATGAAACCATGTCTGAGCTGAGGCGTCAGCTGATTGGTCAGCAGGAGGCCAGAGGGTTCATCACTGACGGATTCGCTCAAGATGTCCACCAGGCTCTCAGCTTCCAGGAACAGGTACTGACTTGACTGGGTCCAGACCTTTGAATCAGCCCACTCCACCGGGTTTGAGTGCACTGATTAGTCTGGCATCGTGACATGAAACACTGGTTCCTGCTGAGGGACTGAAGATTAGCCAATCAGAGCCAGGGGCGGGACTAATGCTGCTATTTTACACATACATATCTTTTCAATGTTGTCAGACATCGTAGGCTAGTTCTGTTTTTTTAAACTTTCTATATTAACCTGATCCGCTTCACTCTTAAAACACTGACACAGAGTATGTTGTCATGGCAACATATCACCTGTCGAATTAAAATGTTAGATGCAGGCGGGTACGTTGTTTTCTAGTGAAACCCCCCACCCACACCATGGAAATTGACTGGAGACAATGTCAGACTGAAGATAGAAACAGAGTGAAACAAGCTGACAATTCTGTCTGAAATCAGGGAAGCTGCTGATCTGTGCAGTGGGTTTAACTCTGGATTGTGTTGTTTTAGAAAAATACAACATTTTCAGCAAATTCACTTTCCTTCCAAATGTGGAGAAGCCTGACAAAAACCTTTTATTCATATTAGTGTCAGCTTCAGTGGTAACAAACTCCATAAGACACTAAAATCAAAGAAAGATATATGCCAGTTAACTGCTGGTTCACAAGTTAGTTCACAAGCCAAGTTAGTAACTTGAATTAATTGGACATTAATGCATACAGAGAAAGAGGAGAGAAGAGCTCAGTGTATCCTAAGAAGTCCTCCAGCCATCTGGGCCTATAACAGAATAACTAGAGGCTGGTCCAAGGTAAACCTGAGTCAGCCCTAACTATAAACCTGAGTCAGCCCTAACTATAAACCTGAGTCAGCCCTAAGTATAGACCTGAGCCAGCCCTAACTATAAACCTGAACCAGTCCTAACTATAAACCTGAGCCAGCCCTAACTATGAACCTGAGCCAGCCATAACTATGAACCTAGCCAGCCCTAACTATAAACCTGAACCAGCCCTAACTATGAACCTGAACCAGCCCTAACTATAAACCTGAGTCAGCCCTAACTATGAACCTGAGTCAGCCCTAACTATGAACCTGAACCAGCCCTAACTATGAACCTGAACCAGCCTTAACTATGAACCTAAGCCAGCCCTAACTATGAACCTTTGCCAGCCCTAACTATAAACCTGAATCAGCCCTAACTATAAGCCTGAACCAGCCCTAACTATAAGCCTGAACCAGCCCTAACTATGGACCTGAACCAGCCCTAACTATAAACCTGAACCAGCCCTAACTATAAGCCTGAGCCAGCCCTAACTATAAACCTGAGCCAGCCCTAACTATGAACCTGAACCAGTCCTAACTATAAACCTGAACCAGCCCTAACTATGAACCTAAACCAGCCCTAACTATAAATGTGAGCCAGCCCTAACTATGAACCTGAGCCAGTCCTAACTATGAACCTGAGCCAGCCCTAACTATAAACCTGAACCAGCCCTAAATATAACAGTCATCAAAGAGGAAAGTCTTAAATTCTTCTTTAAAATATGATGGTGTCTGATCAATCAGGGCTTAGTAGGTTAGTAAAAGGGTTTTAAATCATATTCTATATTTTACAGGCAGCCAGTGCAGAGAAGCTCATAAAGGAGTAATATGATCTCTTCTCTTAGTTCTTGTTAGTACACGAGCTGCAGCATTCTGAATCAGCTGGAGAGATTTAAGAGACTTATTGGAGCAGCCTTATAATGAGGAATCACAGTAATCTAGTTTAGAAGTAACAAATGCATGAACTCATGTTTCTGCATCACTTTGAGACAGGATGTGTCTGATTTTTGAAATATTACGTAGGTGAAAAAAGGCAGTCCTAGAAATTAGTTTTCTGTGAGTTAAAAGACAAATCCTGATCCAAGATAGCTCTGAGATTCTTTACGGTGCTGTTGGATACAGAGCAATAACATCTAGAGAAACTATTTCATTAGATCATTGATTCCTAGAAGAATAACTTCAGTTTAATCTGAGTTTAACATCAGGAACTCCATCATTGGAGTTTAGCTAACTGGTTGGTCTCATCTGGCTTGATCAATAGATATAATTGGTTATCATCTGCATAACAATGAAAGTTTATGGAGCAATTTCTGATAATATTGTCCAAAAGAAACCAACATCAGGTGAACAGAATAGAGATGTAGATTGAACTACAATATTTTACACACATAAAAGATATACGAACGGATTGCAGCATTTTTACTGAACAATTCTAGATCAAACTGCCACAGGACTAGATACAGCAGACTGATAAGAGGGTTTGGTCTGCAGGGGCCCAGCAGATAGAACAAACCAGTCCCAGTTGGAAGCTAATATAATACTTTATAAACAACTCGAGAAGCAAAAGGTAGTGAATAATATATTGTAAAACACAGACTACTTAATAATCACAATAATAATGGAGTGATTAACTCTGTTCTACCTACCTTCTCTATTTTCAGATTGGCTCTCTTGACCTGGTGATACTGCTGCTCTGCTCCAATGAGACTCTGCGCTGTCGTCTGCAGCAACGAGCCACTCAACTCGGTCTCCTAGGAGACAATAGCCACGCCCTGCGGAGACGCCTGGAGATATTTCAGAGAGACATCGTCTCCATCAACAGATACCACAGACAGCTACACCTGCTGACACAGGTACACCTACTGACAAAGCAACACCCGTTGAAACAAATACACAGCAACACCCGCTGACACACCTGCTGACAGAAGTACACCTGTTGACACGAGTACACGTGTTGACACGAGTACACCTGCTGACAGGAGTAGACCTGCTGACACGAGTACACCTGTTGACACGAGTACACCTGCTGACA